TGATTCACCCGCCTTGGCCTCCCAAAGTGCTGGGATTATAGGCATGAGCCACTGCACCCAGCCTATCTCACATTTTCTTTATTCACTAGTTGACTGATGGGCATTTGGGCTGGTTCCGTATTTTTCCAATTGCAAATTGTGCTGCTATAAACACGCATGAGCAAGTAACTTTTTCATATGATGACTTATTTTCCTCTGGGTAGGTGCCTAGTAGTGGGATTGCTGGATCAAATGGTAGATCTACTTTTAGTTCTTTAAGGAATCTTCACACTGTTTTCCATAGTGGTTCTACTAGTTTTTGTACTAGTTTACATTTCATGGAAAGACTTTCTATAGAAGAAAATGTAAACTACAGAGAAAAAAAAAATCCAAAATCACAGGAAAGAGATAGCAATCTACTTAATTCCTGGAATTGTTTGAAAAAGTCATGTAAAATTTGTGGAGATTTAAGTATATGGAGAACAACACATATTCATAAGTAAAACACATAAGTAAACACATAAGTAAAATAAGATTGTATTTCAGCTTCATCTTGTGTATACTTAGGAGTAATAGAAGACACAAATGGGGAAAGAATAAAAGAAATACAGGAAGAGGAAAAGAGAGAAGAATCAGGAAATTGGAAGTTAAATAATTCCACACATACTTATTGAAGTCTATTTAAACAATGCTTAAAAACATATGGCCTCTTAGAATTACACTTTTAAAATGAACTTTGTCGCTATGGGATTTGGGGTATTATGACAGGAAGTGAGATGTTTGAAGACAGAGTTTTTGAGCTCTCTGGGTATTAACTCCTTAAGTGAAAGATGCTCTGAGTGCACAATAGACTTGTGCAGTGCTCTTTAATTGATGGAGATGCTACATCTCACGTCCTCATCGTCCACAGAGCCTCCAGATCCTGGCCAGGAGTCTCCTCAGAGCCCCTTTCACATCTTTATTTCTCAGGGTGTAGATGAAGGGATTGAGAGTGGGGGTGATTATGGAATAGAAGAGAGAAATAAATTTGCCCTGCTCTTGGGAGTAGCTGGAAGGGGGCTGAAGATACATGTAAATGGCAGGTAGGTAGAAGAGGGAGACGACCATCAGGTGGGAGGAACACGTCCCAAAGGCCTTGTGTCGTCCCTTGGAGGATTGGATCCTGAGCACTGCGCGGGCAATAAAGCCATAGGAGAGAAGGATGAGAGCCAGGGGCACCAACACGAAGAAGGCCACCAGCACAGCCAGCGTGGCATCATTCACAGCTGTGTCGGCACACGACAGCTTGATCATGGCCGGCACCTCGCAGAAAAAGTTGTTTAGCACCTGCCGCCCACAGAATGGCAATTGCACAGTCAGGACCACCTGCACGAAGGAGTTGCCGAAGCCACTGAGCCAGGCCAGAGCCACGAGCTGCTGACAGAGAGTACGGTGCATGAGAATGGCGTAGTGCAGGGGCTCGCAGATGGCCACGTAGCGGTCCAGGGCCATGGCGGCCAGGAGGATGCACTCCGTGCATCCCAGCCAGTGGAAGACTGCATACTGCACAGTGCAGCCTCCGTAGCTGATGGTCTTCTGGGAACTGCCCATGTTGACCAGCATCTGAGGGACCGTAGTGGTGGTGTAGCAGAGGTCCAGGAAGGACAGGTGGCTGAGGAAGGTGTACATGGGACTGTGGAGTTGAGGATCCAGCTGGGATGCCAGGATGATGGCGACGTTCCCCAACATGGCCAGCACGTAGGACAGCAGGAGGACCACAAAGAGAGGGAGTTCCAGCCATGGCCTGTCAGACACACCCAGAAGGATGAAGGCTTTAGGGGGGTCCCCTGAGAAGCTCTGGTTGTCACTTTTCATGTTGTGGTATTTTCTGGCACCTGTGACTAATTGAGAAAATCCGAATGAATAATACCTGAGAAGAGGAACTGATCGCTTTCCTCCGTCTTGCATCCACTCTTCCTTCCCCAGGTGATAGCCTGTTTGATTCTCCTTACCTCTGTGGAGACGCTGGGATGTGGAGGGATCAGAACAAAGCGCCCCAGCAGCAGCCTGTGTGTCGTTGCTCTCCTTCCTACTCAGTGGCCTCAACTAAAGCCATTTAATCTCCCTGAACTTCTGCATCTGTGAAATGGGGAGAAATACCTGCTTCAACTGCCAAGACTTGGGGACGATAGAGACATTAAGTATGTGAGAAGAATACCTCATGAATGACAGTTGTGTTCCAGGTAGAGTGAAGCCTGCCACAGCTCCTATCACCGTCAGAATGTTTGATTTCTGTCTACATCCACATTGACAGGGAATTGTCCACCTTTTTAGGCTTTCCCATTTTGGGAGGTAGTGGTAGGAGGCAGGTGGGTGGTGACATAAAGCAAGCAGAAGGGCTTTGTGAGCAGCTGGGGGCTGTATTGATAGAACCACCCCCCATCACCTGCTCACGCTTGCATCTGGCTCCCCGATTCATGCTGATCTCTGCTTTCAAGACCGCTCACACACAGGCAGCCCTGTCACTCACACTGGTGGTAAAAGCAGCACAGTTCTAGGTCCTGTGAGTCTCTGGAGTGGAAAAGCCAAGTCATATGTTACTTCAGCCCCTGAATAGGTCATGGTAGTTAATGAGACCCCAGAGCATGGAATTTTGAGCACAGGGAGAAAGCTCTAGATTGGCATGAGAAAGGTAGTCCCTGGAACTGTCTACGGAAAGATCAGACTGCCCTCTATGGCTAGGTTTTATCTGATGGCTTGAGTGACATTCCAATTTCCTGCACAATTTCTTTGCCAAGCAGCTGTCACCACTCAGTGATAGAAAACAGCCAATTTGATTTCTGAAACCATTGCTGTTAGGAAGCAACTGGGTTGCCACCTGCTGATT